TGGAGGGGCGCGCCCGCCAAGTTCTCGCCCCGCCCCGCAAAGGAACGCGCAGGCGCGCCCACCGGACGCCGGGCCCTGGAGACGGGAGCGCGGCGGGAGCGCTCGAGGGGCGTACCCGCGTGATAACGTGGAGCACAGAGTGGGACACGGGGACGACCGGCGGGTCCCCGAGGGACAAGGGCGGGGCGGCAGGGGAAACAGGCCACGCGGAGGGGATGAGTCGCCCTGGAGGGATCAGGACCAGGGGACCCGAGTCCGGACGGCGACCTGGGCTGGCTGAGACGCGGCGCGCGCGCACACTCGGAGGCGGAGCAGCTACAAAACCAGGGCAGGTTTATTGCGGAGAGTGGGAGAGCGGGGGCCGCCTTAGGGATTAAGGCCGCAGCCCGACCCTGTGCTCTGCCGGAGCAGGGGCTTAGGAGGCCGGGCTCCCCGCCCCAGACTGTGCAAAAAGTGCTGTGCGGTCCCTGGGGCCAGCGCGGGGACTCCGGGCTGCCCCTCAGCCGGCGAGGGGCGGGACTTCCGGGAGTGACACTGCCCGCCAATCCCTGAGCTGGGGGGGCTGGGCACCCCCACCCCTGAGTGCCGGCCCACAGCTTCGAGGACTCCAGAGTGGGCGCCCTCCGGGCGGAGCCCGCGCTGGGCACCGGGCAGGTGGTCAGCGGGCCTCTTCGGGTTTGTACTCGGTCTCCCCAGAGGACACCTGCGAGATGCGCCGTGAGGACCGCCACAGCTTGCGAGCGAACTGGCCGCTGCGCACCTGGGAGGAGCAGCAGGGCGGAGTGAGCCGGGACCCTCTCCCCCGGCCCGGCCCGGCCCGTCGGAGGCCCACCCGGCTCCTAGCCTCACCTCGGAGGGCTGTCCCGCGCCCACCACGATAAGCTTGCCATCCTCCAGACCCACAAGCACGTGGCTGCGCTCCTTGGTCACAGCCATGCTGCGGATGGGCACCTGCATGGGCAGGGGAGGCGCGGCCGGCAGCAGTCTGGAGGGAAGGAGGCGATACAGGGTTACACGAACTCGCAACCGCAAGGCAGCCTGGCACCCGGCCGGCGTCATTCTCCTGTATGCCCTGGCTGCCCTCATTTGAAGGATGGCTCAGTTGAAACCCTGATACATGAAGAGGTCTCCCACAGGTGTGTGGCTAAGAGGCCAAGGGCAAGAGCTCCCCGCTGGGGGGTGAGGGGTCAGGAACAGGACATGCAGGACATGCTCACAGGCGTGCAAAGAGGGTGTGGGTCCTCCGGGCACCTCCTAGTNCACTCGGAGGCGGAGCAGCTACAAAACCAGGGCAGGTTTATTGCGGAGAGTGGGAGAGCGGGGGCCGCCTTAGGGATTAAGGCCGCAGCCCGACCCTGTGCTCTGCCGGAGCAGGGGCTTAGGAGGCCGGGCTCCCCGCCCCAGACTGTGCAAAAAGTGCTGTGCGGTCCCTGGGGCCAGCGCGGGGACTCCGGGCTGCCCCTCAGCCGGCGAGGGGCGGGACTTCCGGGAGTGACACCGCCCGCCAATCCCTGAGCTGGGGGGGCTGGGCACCCCCACCCCTGAGTGCCGGCCCACAGCTTCGAGGACTCCAGAGTGGGCGCCCTCCGGGCGGAGCCCGCGCTGGGCACCGGGCAGGTGGTCAGCGGGCCTCTTCGGGTTTGTACTCGGTCTCCCCAGAGGACACCTGCGAGATGCGCCGTGAGGACCGCCACAGCTTGCGAGCGAACTGGCCGCTGCGCACCTGGGAGGAGCAGCAGGGCGGAGTGAGCCGGGACCCTCTCCCCCGGCCCGGCCCGGCCCGTCGGAGGCCCACCCGGCTCCTAGCCTCACCTCGGAGGGCTGTCCCGCGCCCACCACGATAAGCTTGCCATCCTCCAGACCCACAAGCACGTGGCTGCGCTCCTTGGTCACAGCCATGCTGCGGATGGGCACCTGCATGGGCAGGGGAGGCGCGGCCGGCAGCAGTCTGGAGGGAAGGAGGCGATACAGGGTTACACGAACTCGCAACCGCAAGGCAGCCTGGCACCCGGCCGGCGTCATTCTCCTGTATGCCCTGGCTGCCCTCATTTGAAGGATGGCTCAGTTGAAACCCTGATACATGAAGAGGTCTCCCACAGGTGTGTGGCTAAGAGGCCAAGGGCAAGAGCTCCCCGCTGGGGGGTGAGGGGTCAGGAACAGGACATGCAGGACATGCTCACAGGCGTGCAAAGAGGGTGTGGGTCCTCCGGGCACCTCCTAGTATCCTCTGCCAGTGACCGCCACCCTGAGGGACCATGAACCCCTAAGTAGTGGGGCTTACTTGTTCAGGTGAAGGATGTGCAGGGCACACTGGGCTGTGCCCAACAGAACAAAGTCCTCTGTCACTGCCAGGGCTGTGGGCTGTTCCACCAGGGGCAGCGAAGCCCGCAACCTCCCGTTCACTGAGTACAGGTGCAAAGAGTAGGTGATCTGGAAGAAGCAGGAGGTGTCAGCAGAGACAGAATCCCAACCACCCCTGTCTTGATTGGGTGCCTGTTTCTCATACCTGAGCCCCTAGACGCTCCCGCGCTGAGCTCTGCACCACAACCTGGCCCTCAGACCCCAGCACCAAGTGGGACACAGGTCCGGGCAGCACGGCCCCCGGGGGCTGTAGTGCTGCTACAAACTGGCCACGGCGTACAGTGTGGATGATCACAGTTCCATCCTGTAGGAAGGCAGCTTAGGGTACTAGGCAGGGTTCTCTGGGTACCAGGCACAGCGCCCACCAAACTCAGCCTCCCCTAGGCACAGGCATACACACATACCTCAGATCCAGACACAGCCATGTCAAGTTCAGTGCTGATGGCCACACAGCTCACTGCAGCCTCATGCCCGTATAGGACCTGTATGGGCTTTGATGCCAGTCCCACCGAGATACCACCCTGTAGGAAGCCAGGACTGTCTCAGGACTGGGGGCATCCCATTATCCTGGCCCCTCAATGAGAAGGCTAAGGCTCAGGAGCGTGAGGGCACTGTGCAAAGCCAGAGAGCTGGAGGGTTGTGGAGCCCCAGATTTGCTCACAGTAGTGGACGGAAGGAGAAGAGAGAATAACAGGACTGGAAGCCTACTGAGGGGTAGGTGGGCTGCAGTTCTGGACTATGGGGCCCCATGAAGCTGCCCACCTGGCATACCTGCTGCAGAAGCTGCCACACCATGCACGTGGTGTCCCGGGAGCCTGAGATGAGGTAGATGCCACAGGTGTCCAGTGCAAGGCAGGTCACTATGTCTGCATGGGGAGGGAAAGGTCCAATAGAACAGAGTAGTCACACCTTTCCTGGCCAGCCTCAGACCACTACCCTGACCTGCACCACCCCCAGCTTCAAGGCTGCTCATACCAAGGTGGCGGCTGATCTGTTTCAACAGCTTGCCCCGGGGTAGCGCTGTCACTCGAAGGCTGCCATCCCAATGGCCACCACTGAACAGCAGCTTTCCGTCGGGGGCCACTGCCAGGGCTTGCCCACTCACACCATTGCCCGGTACCCATGGGCCACTCAGCAGTCGCTGCACCCTGACCCAATAAGGGGGATAACAGGTGAGGCCAGGCCACATAGGATACCTAGGCCCTCAGAGACCTTGGCCAGACCCAATGCTGGCCAGCATTCTGATTAGGTGGGGGGACACCCACCCCTGCCCATAGCCCTCTCTCTTACTTGGTGGAGTCTTTGATGAATCTGAAGTAGTTACTTATGTTACGATCATAGGGCAACCAGCTGTGGGTGCCCAGCAGCCCATTGGCACTTACGGTCACCTGTGAGCAAGATGGGGCAGAGGCAGATTTGAGGTTGAGTCAGAGAGGGGGTGGAGCTGGGTGGAGTTCTGCCCAGTGCACTTACCAGCAGGTCTGGGGTCATAGAGGAATGGAGCTGCCGGTGGGGAACCAGGGCCAGCACCAGGGGCACGCCATCACTGATAAGCTGTGGGGTACAGGGCAAGCTAGCTATGTCCGAGAGGTCAGCCAGAGCCCCCACTACACTATCTGTTCCCTGGAGCACCACTGCTTCGTTTGCCCTCAGCCCCCAGGGGTCACAGGCTGGGTGTCACAGAGGCTGAGGTCCCTCTGAGAAACACGCATGACACCAGTGGGTCTTTAGGAGGGCATCTCAAAAAGTGAGTAAGAAGCTGGGATAGACAAGGAAGATCCTTCCAGAGTCTCAAGCTTGGTCTCAGCCTTGGTCCACCCACCCCATTACTCCTTGTGCCCCCGCCTGCTGGCAGGAGAGGATAGCCTAAAAAAGTCAGGTCTGGGGCATTCTGAGATGTAGACAGGAAGGTGAGGGAGTGTTCAAGGCCAGATGCCCTTCCTTCTGGTCTCCCTAAGGCTTCCAGAGAGGGCTAAGTGAGTCATCACTTGTCCTGGCCCTCATGAAGAAGGTACCCCAGCTACACTCCCATAGTCCCCTCATGTTCACTTCTTTTCCCATATCAGTGACCTTGATTTAGGTTTTCCATCTGCCCCAAAGGTTGGTAAGAGTAAGAAGTTGAGGCCTTCCTCACCCCCGCGAAGAAGGCCTTGAGCTGGTCCAGATGCTGGAAGATGCTAGGTGAGTTAGTGTCCAGACGTGCAAGGCGTTGGGCTGCTTCCTCAGCTGAGAGCCGAGCTGGATGTGGCTCCTGTGGATGAGTGGTCAGTTAACACCATGGCATGGACGCCCCTTACCACTGTCCTGCAAGCTGGCCTTACTTACCTTTAGCAGCTGACAGGGAGTCTGCCCAAAGTTGCTGATAATGCCTTCCAGAGCCTTCCGCTCCCGCTCATCTGCCACGTGGTCCAGGTCCACAGCCCCTGGGTGGGTAGGCAGGGTAGTCAGGACTCCCTCTGTGCCCTCTGCATTCACTCTTATCTGTGCCCAGCTTCCACTTAAACCCAGGGCACTGCCTACCCTCATAGGTGCAGTAATAGAAGACATTGAGGGCCTCCTCTGCAGCCGGCCCCCGCTGCTTATAGCCAAAGATGAGGTCAATCCACTCGTGCAGGTGGGCGGACACATACTCGGACTCCTGGGGATAGGGAGGGGCGGTCAGTCCAGGGACAGACAGCTGACCTCTAACCCCGACCTTCAGCCCCACTGCCCGCCTGTATGTGCTCATGTCCTCACCAGAGCCTGGCGGTGCTGCTGGATGAAGTCCTCGGGAGAGCTAGCCCACGGGGGCAGCACCACGTCGCCCACCTTCTCGTTGGTCAGCTGGAGACAGCCCAGGTCAAAGCCTGGAACAGAGGACGGGGTCAGCTGTCTTCACCTGCTCCCTGGCCACCTCCGCCCGTGTCTCCCAGGCCAGCTCCTACCGTTCTGGTTCTCCAGGAAGTCTGGGAAGTAGAAGAACTCTGGGATGAGCTCCTTCACATCAGCCAGGCTGTCCAGGCGGGCCTGCCAGGCTGCGGCCACCGAGTGGAACTGCCGGTCAGAGCAGTCAAAGCTGGGGGAGGGGCACGGGCCAAAGTGAGGTGGCGAGAGTGGGGACAGGGAGGGAGAAGGTATGGCGGGGAAAAAAGACAGAGAGACAGAGGGCCCAGGATGTCCGGAGGACCTGCCTCTTCCCCTCAAATGCTGGCCTCCCCCCACCAGCTGCCACCCGCCCGCCACACCCTGCGCCGCACCGGCCACTCTGCAGCTGGATGTGCAGGGAGGTGAAGGGCTCCATGCGGATGAGGTAGTGCATCACGCCCGCTGCGTTGGAATAGTGGGTGCCATAGTGGAACTTGTCAATAGTGCCCGCTGGGTCCTCAAAGCTCTCATACCTGGAGTCACAGTTAGGGGGCAGTCAGCAGAAGCCCTCGCATGGCCCATCCCAACCTCCGAGCCCAGCCTTGCCCACATGCTCACTTCTCCCTCACGAGCTGGGCATGCTTGGGGTTCACCACACCGATGGGCTTGGACAGGTCCCGGAAGACAGCCGGGTTGCTGAGGTCCAGGGTTGGGGACACGTAGTCCTGTAGGACCCAGGGGAACTGGCCGCCCACCCCGGGCAGGAGCTGCATGAGGGTCCTGATGGCCTACCTGCCCACTCTGCCCTGCCCTCACCCTCAGGAAGATGGGCAGAGCCCATAGGTGGGCACCCTCCACTTGGAGGGGCTACAGGGGAGCAGGACAGACGGTCCAGGACAGGGTTCCCTTCAGGAAAAACAGGCCAGGAGGGGACGAGAGTGGGCCTGGGTGTGTGTGTGGGGGGGGGGCAGGGGACAAAGGCCAGGCCTTAGGCCGCACCCACTAGGACAAAGCTCAAGGTTTGTTCCCCCATCAGTGCCTACGCTTGGGTGAACCAGCGCTGGCGGACGAGAAGGATGGGTGGAGGTATGGAATGGGCCCTCACCACAGGGTACTGAGACAAGTCGTTGTAGGTCCGCCCCGCAATGGTGTTGAGTTGCATCAGGTACTCGAAGTTGGATATCTCACGCTGTACCCATTTCTGGGGGGCAAGCGCAGGCAAGAAGTGAGCCAGCTGAGGTGTCCAGCACTCCTCCCAACCACAGGGCCCTGACCGCACCCACCCCTCACGCTCCAGGGCTCTCACCTGGGTAAGGCCTGAGGCTCTCAGCATCTCCTGCGGGGAGCGGTTGCTTAGGTAGCCCTGGGTAGGGGGTCGCAGACTCAGGAGCCACTTGTAGACCTGGTTCCGTGTCTGGGGGTGGGGTGGGATGGGGCAGGGTTGAGGCCTGGGGCCCTGGCAAGGAGATGAGGCTGCAGCCCCACCAACCTTGCTTTGGAGCTTGAGGAAGTAGCTGGCCTGATCAATAAAGAAGAGCTAGACCTGGTTCCGTAACTGGGGGTGGGGTGGGATGGGGCAGGGTTGAGGCCTGGGGGCTGGCAAGGAGATGAGGCTGCAGCCCCACCCACCTTGCTTGTGAAGTTGAGGAAGTAGCTGGACTGATCAATAAAGAAGAGCTCGAGTGCTGAGCGGCGCAGGTTGAAACGCCGTAGGTAGACCTCTCGCAGCTGGGCCAGCGGGCGCCGGAAGTCATGGCCAATGCCTGTGGGGATGGGCAGCAGGTGCAGGAATCACTCAACCTGGCCCCGCCAGACCACAGCCCACCCCTGCCACCTCCTGCCACGCCTCCAACCAGCTTCATCAGAACGCACCCTCCTCAGTTTCCACACGCTCAGCGCTGCCATCGTAGAAGTATATGTGCTGTGTGGTGACCTCCAGCAGCCCTGGGACCACAGCCACCACTGTGACCAGTTGGCATTCAGCTGACAGCACCAGTTTCTCATGCTGCTGGTCCAGTTCCACTGCCTCCATCCTGGGGGTCAGAGCCCACTTCAGGCCCTAGGCTCTGGGACCCCCTTCCCAACAAGCCCAAGTAACACACTCTCTGAGTCATAGGGGAGGGACTGTCAGTGTCCAGACTGACCCAAGTTCCTGCCCCTGGGTCTCTGAATGTCTTGCCAGGACACCAACTTGTGCCCCCAGCTTCCTTTCACTCAGCCCCTGCCCACTCCCATGGGCCCCCATCCTAGTCTGGTTTGTGTTTCTCAGTCCTTCTCTGGGGTGCCTAGCCTTGAAAGAGCAACTATCCTGTGAGATATCTATCCTCAACCCCCCACCTTATTTGGGAGTCTCTTTAGGGTATTTAGCCCTGCAGCAGAAGAGGGAATGGACTTGGGGGTCAATCCCCAGCAGGCGTGCACACATGGAGCAGACCGTGGCCCCCACCCCAACCAGCTCTCTCCTAGTCCCACTCACACAGTCTCCAGTGAAGCCAGCTCATCCTCGCCCAGCTGGTCTTCCTGCAGCTCCTCGGGTAGGGTGCTGACTTTGGCCTCTTTGGTTACTGCTAGAGGCAGCGACGCCTTCTCAGTGGGTGTTAGGGGAGCCTCACCTGCAATGGGCCCAAGGGTGCTCAGCCAGAAATAGGCAGGACAGCATATGAGGTTGGGTGGACCCAACTCAGCACACCGCCTCACCTAGGTTGTCACGTAGGGCACTGGCTTCCAGATGAGAGTTGAAGTGATGGTTGGGCACCAGCTTCAGACGCATGCGTGAGTATGTCTCGGCACTGGACATCTTCCACCGGGGGGTGGGGGGATCTCTGCGGAGGTGTCCCAGGTGATTCCTCCCAAGCCTCACCCCAGAGGCAGTCTGGTTCTCCAGGTCCCTCCAACCCTCCCTCCCAAGCCTGCCCTGGCCTCAAGCCCCACCCACCTCAGGGCCCAGGCCCCGCAGGGGCTGGAGAGCTGACGCCACAGCGCCCCCCAGTGCAGCAGGACCGTAGAGTGCTGCGTGGCCTGCTGCTTCAGAGCTGTGGCATAGCGCTGCCCCTCGTGGCGCACCCGCCGCTGCACGGGTTCCAGCACCAGCTCCTGGGGGTAGGGGTGGGGGAAAGAGCAGGGGTGAGTCTTGCTGGCTGCTTTCTGTCCTGGCGGGTCAGGAGTCTTCTGGGTGCAGGCGTGGAGCAGCTCCCAGGCACCACCCCAGCCAGGCACACACCTGGAAAACCCGACGGCTATGTGCCCGCTCTCGCTGCAGCCGCTGCCCACTGCTCATGAGTGTGTCGTAGCAGGAGTTCCAGAAGCCTGACATGAGGTCGTGGCTCTTAGCGTAGGTGTCCATTTCGAACTGGGACATGGTGGGCTGCACCTGGAGGGTTGGGCAGGGAAAGGAGACAGTGCTCGATGTGGGCTCCCAGCCCCCACTTCTCTTCCTGTGCCCCCACCTCCAGGCACCTGCTTGTCGATGAAGTGACGCCATTCGGGTGTGGCACAAAAGGCCAGGAGGTCCTCAAAGAAGGTGGGGCTGCCGTTGGTGGGTGGCAGGGAAGGCAGCCTCCACTGCAGCCCCAGTGGCTCGTAGGCTCGGTCCAGAAGCGTTCGCACCAGCGGCACCAGCCACGAGCAGCGATCCACAGAGGCAGCAGCTATAGTTGGGGGCTCCGGGTCCTCAGTGGCCATCTCACAGGGGGAGGTGTTAAGCACCCGTGCCAGTGCAGCCTCCAACTTGGAGAGCACATAGCAGGCCTCCTCCCAGCGCATGGGCACTGCAGTCTGCAGCAGCGTGTGCAACTTCACATAGGCCTGGGAGTGCAGCTGGGGGCAAAAGGGAAATGTGGGTGGCACCTGGCTTCTCCCAGAGCTCCCTACATAAGTCATGCCCCTTCCCCCACAAGCACCGTTGCTCACCTCTGGGTCTTCCAACAGGATATAGCCAAGCACGAGGTGCAGGCCAATCTGTGCCATCTCTCGGAGATCCGCTGTGCCGTTGGCCAGGTGTGACCAGGCTCCCAGGCGATCAAGCAGAATGCACACGCCTTCAAAGAGCTGCCACACAACATATCCCCAGCAGCCATCACCAGATGAGGCAGGAACCCATGGGAAGGGAGCAAGGTAAGGTTTGGGCAGGGGGCCAGGTTGGGTTTGTACATACAGACAAGTCCATGCTCAGACACCTGTGCCAACCCACCCAGGACTGCACACATGTACACATCCCCCCAGACCAGGCGCCCGCAGATTCAGGAGAACACCTGTGCTCCCAAAGCTCATCCCCCTCTGAGCTGGCTCACCTTCTCACTCCACAGTTCCTGGTTGCCATGGCCCTCGGAGCACAGGAAGTCCTGCAGCAGGCGCAGCAGCCAAAGTACCTGCTGGTTGAGGCTGGCCAGCATCCCAGCAGGGGCCTCTTTGATGTCAGTCAGGGCTGACTCCAGCATCATCTCCAGGAGGCTGGGAATGGGTGAGGGACTCAGGTGTCTCTCCACTGCCTGCCTATCCGCAGGCCCCCTGGAGGCCCCACCTCCTGAAATGCCTCCTCACCTGCGCTTGATGCAGTCTGGTGGGCGCACAAGTGTGGCTGAGGCCCCCAGCTGGGTGAGCACTGAGAAGACCTGGCCACGTTCCCGCCAGGCGACCTCATCACTACCTTCCACACCCCGCCATGTCACCAAGAACAGCACGTTGGTGAGCAGGTTGCACAGCTCCTCCTCAGGGGTTTGCTGTGGGCACAAATGGGTGGTGTGAGGTATGGGCTGGGAAAAGGGGATCCGGCTGACCCCACACTATCCCTGTTCAACTCCCATTGCCCACCACTAGTAGGTACAACAGGAGGCAGAGCATTGAGCTAACAGACGGCCTGGCTCTGAGGCCTGGAAGAATGGTGCTGAGGCCTCAGCCACGGCCTGGATGCCTAGGAGAGTACTGAGGTTTCAGGTACTCCTAAGACAGGATCAGGAGGTTCACAAAATTAGACTTCAATCCTCACAGGCCTCAAGAACTGCCCTGGAATTCTCTGGAAGAATGCCATAGAATAAGCAGAGGCCCGTCCCCAAGCCCAGAAGCACCAGGCAGGATCCTTAGAGCTGTCCACAGGCCTTGTAAAGTCTCCGCCCTACTTTGGGACTCCACTTGCAGCTGCAGCCCTGATGAGACAGGGCTACACCTGTGGAAAGGCTAGGCTGCCTGCCTTGTGCCCAGAGGTGCTCTCCCTTAGTGCCATGCAGTGGCAGAGGGTGGGCCCGCCTCACCTGAGGGTTGCTGGTATTAGAGGTGTCATCTCCACTGAAGGCGGGCTCTGGGAGGCTGCCGTCCTCCAGCACATTGGAGAGACTGGAGCTGTGGCGGCCAGGGGCAGCAGGGAAGGGCCGGGGCCCTCCCAGTGGGGAAGGTGTGTCAGGCTGGCTGGCTGGAGTGAGAGTCCCACTGCTGCTGCTGCCACCGCCACCAGCAATGTTGCCTGAGTCCACGCTGGACCGTTCCAGGACCAGGTCAAAGGGTGCGCAGAACGGGGAGAGAGCTTGGTAAAAGGCATCAGGGTTGGGGCAGGAGGCCTCTGAGGGCAGGAAGACGTCTGAAGATTCAGGTGATTCAGTGAGTGGCTTGGGTAAGGCTGGCTCTGGGGAGGCGGGCAGCTCTGGGGGAAAGGGCAGGGGACTGCTGGCCATGGCAGGCTCCAGCACGTACAGCCGGGTCAGAACATCCTGCCAGCCGGCCTGTCGGGCCAGCAACCGCACAATGTTGGGTGGTCTGTAGATCATGTGGAAGAGCTGTGGACCAGGGCACAGCAAGTAAGGGACTCATCCAAAAGATCCGCCCCCAAACCTCTGTCCTGGAGCCTTTGCAGAGGAGGCTTCCAGAGACCCCTCACCACTGGCAGACAAAATGAGTCCTCAGGGTAGAAATCTCCCCTTCCTTTTCCCCTTCCCCCAAAGCTTTCACCTCCCGCACTCACCTTGCGACAGATGTACAGGCGGATGCTGAGGTCAGCCTGGAGGGACAGCTGCACCATAGCCATCAGATCTGAGAGGTTCAGGAAATCTGGGAGGATGGCCAGAGGGGGCTTGAGGGACTGACCCCAGTAGGGGCTACACTCCCCTGCTGGCCCAGTCTCGGCCCCTGCACCAATACTTTCCCTATTCCCACCTGTCCTGTTCCTGGATCCATGTCACCCTTCCACCTGGCCTGCCTTTTGGCCCCAACCAGGTTGTACCTGTCTCCAGGAACAGCTTATAGAGTCCCTTGAAGAGCTCGAGGGAAACCGCCCCCTCCGGCAGGCAGGCGACGAGCCCCTGGAGGCCACACTCTTGAAGCCGGAGCCGCTGGCGGCTCTGCTCAGGTAAGCGCTCATTGTGCTGCAGTCTGCGCAGGATCTGTGTATGGGGGGGGGGCGTCATCACGGGGACGTTACTGCAAGAGGGGGAGTCACCACGCAGGTGTGTGGCTCCAACAAAGGCCTCAAAGGCAGCTTCCTCTGGCAGCCCCAAGCCTGCTGCACCTCCCTGGACCTCAAGCAGGGGTCACAGCAAATGGGGTGCCAGGAGCTAGTGGGCTGGGTGTACCTTGCAGACTCGGTCGGCCAGCAGGGGCGGTGGCCTTGGCCGCACCAGCAGTGTCAGCAGCACCTCCAGGTTTCCCAGCTCCAGCAGGAAGACAGCCAGGGACTCCTGTGCTGGTGAGCCCTGCAGCAGTGCCAGCAGCAGGTCCAGGGCGCCCAGCACCTAGGGGATACAAAGGCTCACACTGGGCAGGGCCTCCCCACGTGGTCCACACTCCATCCCTCACCCAAGCCTCCCTGTCACCAACCTTCAGCCTACCTGGCCATCATCACCTGCAGCTGCCAGAAAACTCAGCACAACCTGCATGTCATCAACGGGGGAGCTTGGTACCAGGAACTCACGCGCCAGGCGCAGGAGCGAAGTCTGCACCGTGCACAGGTCATCAGCCGCTAGGGGGCGCTCCCGCTGCGGGCTGGACCATTCCCAGCAGGCACACCCACCCAGGGCAAGGAGAAAGCAGGGGTACAGAGGGGAGAGAACAGGGAGAGTGTTCAGGTGAGCTGGGAGACTGGATGTTCCTGTTCCCAAAGCCAGAGGCCACTGGGTCAGCCCCCTGGCTACCTGCCCTTCACCAGCCTTACCCATAGTGTGTACGCAGGGCATCGAGGATGAACTGGACCCCGTACTTCTTCCGCAGTTTCTGTCTGTGCTCACAGACTATCTTGGACATGTACTGGATGTGGCCTGAGTGGGCATCAGCAGAGGACTCAGGTCACCAGGCAGAGCTGGGCCTTTTCTGATCCTCCTACCAGATATCCCCAGGAAGGGTCATGTTCCCTCAGATGCCCCAGGACAAATATGCCCCTTCAGGTCATCCAGAGTAGAGTTATAACTTCTTAGAACCTCCACCATCACCCTGCCTGGCGGTGTCCCTTCACCCAAGTCTCCACACCTACCGAGGCGTACAGCAAAGTCGCTGAGGCTCCAGAGGTGAAAGTTGAAGAGCAAATGCTGGTAGAGCAGGTACAGGAGGGGCCCACTGCCCTCAGCTGCCACCTGCTCCATCAGCAGCTGGGCAGACATGAACACATTCATGTCCATGGCCCAGCTGGGGACCTGGAGCAGAAGGAGCTGGGGTGAGATGTCAGGCCCTGCCCACCCGCTGTTGAGACTCCCAGCTTCCACTCTGCGCTGCACAGACAGATGGACACAAGCTCCCTGCCTGCTCAGAACCCCTCAGTGGCTCCCTTCTGTCTCTGTTGTGCAGCCTCCTGTCCCAGCCTGCGTTGGTACTTCCCCCCGACCCTCAGCCAAACCCTGCCTAGCCTTTCAAGGCCCCACTCAAATGCCACCTCTCCCAGGAGGCTCTGCCTGACTAATGGCACCTTGGTCCTCCCACCCAGCCCCCTCCCCACATGCCCAAGCAGGCCTACCTTGCGCAGGAGGGCCCCTATGATGGCAGGCCCCTGGCACTGTACCAGGCTCTCCTGGTTCACAGCGTGGCCCTGCAGTAGGTTCCGCAGCATCAGCAGAAAGGCAGCTATTGCGTTCCTTTCCATTCGCTCCTCTCCTGGCCACCAGGAAGGGGACAGATGTGTGTCAAGGGCCTGCCAGTGGCCACAGAGACCTCAGGCACTCCAGCTCCGCCCACCCCCATCATGCCAAGATTTCCTCCCTGCAAACCAGGTACCAGGAACACTTACCTGGGGACTTGCCCAGTGGGAGAAGCAGGCCCTGGGTGTTGTGGCCACAGGTCAGCTCAGGCCCCACAAGGTCATGTGTTTCAGTTGGACCTGCTTCAGCCTCTTGGGGCTGTGCAGCTACTCGCTCCAGTAGGGGCAGCAGGGCACCCATGCCTCCCACGCAATTCACCACATCCTAGGGGCAGGGGGCCTGCTGTGAGAAGGCAGCTAGCTCCCAGCCATTTCCTAACCCACTCCACCCCAGCACGCCCTCCAGTCTGGGAACCTGGGTTCAGGGAAGTTTTGTTCCCTTAAACCCAGGTCTCCTAAATACCTCCCAGGGCACAGTGCCCCTCCCCAGCCCGCCTTGGACACACATGTGCCCATGCTCACGCCTTTTGCACACACCTTCACGTCCCAGGTCTCTACCCTATAGCCTGTCAGGCGGCCATCCAGCCCGTGGCCAGGGGACAGGTCCAGGCAGATGTTGTTCTTACAGGCCTGGGGGCAGGGGGTGAGCAGGCAGCAAGGGTCAGATGGAGGAGAGGGCGGCAGACAGTGTGGGAGCCAAGGGGAGGTAACAGAGTTGAGCCAACTGCCGTCCCCCCCAGTACCTGAGGTGAGTAATGGAGGAGCAGCTTGGTAGCAAGTTCATGCAGTTCACCCTCGGGCTTGAAGGGTGCTGTCTCATTGGGCCCTGTGGGGTTGACAGGGGCCTTCAGACCTGGCTGAACCTCTAGCCAAGCCCCATGCACAGCCCTGATCAGAGGATTTCCAGGGACACCTTCTTCCCCGAGACCCCTAATTTCTGGCCTGGGCACTTTATAATTCCCAACCACCTGGTTCTGGGATACTGGGGTGGGGGCTGGGGCCAGGAAGGAGGATGGGCTGCATACCCAGGGTGCACAGCACCTGCAGGGGCGCTGCCTGCAGGGCCTCATGGAAGATGACCACGGCCCCCAGCTCGCCCTCCAGGGATGTGGGGCTTCCCCACCGAGTGTCCTGGGTGCCTGCAAAGGTGGAGCTGATGCTGCCCTCCTGGAGGGGGGCCACCAGCCCGGACCCCCAGCCAAGCCCTGCGGTCGCCGGGACTGACTGGGAGCGGATGAGGGAGGGGTGGGCGTGAGCCAGGGCAGGGGGGACTGGTGGCCCGGGCAGCCCGGTGGTGGTGGTCGTCGTGCGGTGCCCAGCGGAGCCGATACAGCAGGAGGAGAAAGGCTGCGGGGCCAGGGTTGGGGGAGTGGTCAGGTCGCAGCAAAGCCTGGGGTTCTACCTGTGTCCAGTTCCTCACAGTGACCCCCATGCTGCACAGACCCCAGAGACTGAAGTCTGAGGCCTGGGGAAGGGACTCAAGGGCTCCAGACCCCACCCTGCTCAAGTCCCCCCCCCC